CTATCTCATTTTCTCTTGAGTGTTTCTCTTGGCTGATACTTAATTCTCACTAATGTTTCTTTTTTTAAATTGTTTCTCTTTTTGGTTTTGTCTTTGTTTTCAATATTGTCTTGCATAAAAAAAAATGGATAGAAACATCTGGACCGTGTCTTTAACCCTTGATTGTTTTGTATATTATTCTTACCTGTGAGAAGAAGCATCTGAATCCAAGTAGAAGCATTTTAATTCCTCTGATTCGACTGGTCATGCTTCTTGTTCTCTTGTTCTCACACCTTCAAAAGACTGAAGAGTTGCAGCTTTTACTTCCTCTTGTACTTCTAGTGACTTGAGTATTTTCCCCCTATTCTTACTTCTTAATTGAAGATGTTTGGTAAATAACTAAACAGCTAAAAATCCAGATGAGATCCGATGTGGAAAAAATGAGCTGCAGTCAGAGAAACTTCAAGTCAAACTGTGAACTTCCAAAATGGGTTGCATGTCAAACTCCTCACACACTAGACTGTGACGCTTCAGCCACAGAGTACAGGATGGTGACACTTGGGTTAGGTGGAGATATTTTAAGAAGCCTGAGAATTGGTTGTTCCTCCTTGCTGTGGGTTATTCTCTTCTAAGAAGTGAGGGGGAAGTGTCTGAGTGTGAATGTGGGTACATCAACAGAGCTGTGCAGGTTTGATCTCTTTCACAGATACCTGATGAGCACCATAAAGATCTTAAAATCAAGCTAGAGACGTTATTCTAAAATCAAATGTTACATCTTTGAATCATCTATTAAATAATTGTATTGTTCAGCGTTCAGAACCAAGAATCCAACACCATAAGTCCAGTTTTAAAAAGTCAAAAAAAGCAAATTTCCAAAGAAAACAAGGTCAATCTGACACCCACAGGTAAATATCACAAGACAAACCACAGGAAACAGACAGAGACGGAACGAAACACTAAAGTTGAATACTTTGCCTGCACATACATATAAATTCACACTAAACACCTTAACATGCAAACATAATCTCATGCATATACATAACTAAATGCGTACAGATACATACTCATGCATACATGATATACGGATGAGCTCATTATGTATGTATGAATGAAGCATGTTTGAGCAGAGTGTTTATCTATCTCACATCAGTGGCAGCTCTGAATGATCTGGCTTCTGTGGTCAGAGTCACTGCAGGGCAGGAAGTGTAACTAGTCAAGCTTGTGAAGTTTCTCAACTCCAAGTAACAGAGGAACACCTTTTTGATTCAACGATAATCTTTTTATAAATATACATATTATTAATCTACATTATCAATTCAAACATCAACGTAGAATCAATTGAACTAATAAACAAAACTCTTTACAAACCTGTAGCCTGCCACCTCCTCTACTGGCAGAATGGGCCAGTAAAAAAAGATTGCTGTAAATGACTTATGTCACAGTAGCAAAAATTGCACTTTTGGGATTTGGGTTGGATCCTCATGGCACAAGAGAGCTGGAGGTGACCAGCGACTGTGTTGATTACCTTGGAGACTGGAAAGTGGCAAACGGATTGAGGAGCCTGTTTCTTTGAGTCCACTCTGAGAGATAGCTCACATGTTGACAACCACACACACTGACAGTGTGAGTACCTGGACCCAGGGCCTCTTCTGTGGTCAGCTGTCCTTATGGAGCAAAGGAGCATCTGTCTGACCCCCATTCAGGATCTTGTGGCAGCCACGTACACTAGACCCAGTCTCCAAAGCTAGGATCAGAGGAGGCTGATATCTATAAGTACACTGGAATGCAGACAGAACACCGGATGATACAAGGAGAGTTGAAAGCATACTCAACCCAAATGTGCTGTTTACTCCAAGAAGCAGGGATCTGGGCCACCCGGCAACAGTGGCTGTGGGAGTAAATCATGTAAATCTGTTCTAATTCAAAGATAAGTTGAAGGCTTAACACTGCAAAGATTTACAAAAAAAACCCACAGAAGACAAGCTTATACATCATGACATCCTTACAATAAATGACAATTATTAACCGTCTTGTAAACACAAAGAGTTCATTTGACTTTTAATATTTTTACTTTTACATACTTTATTAATCCCCCAGGGGAAGTTATTGAGAGACATGCTTCTGTAGGCCTGAAACACACACACAAGCACAAACAGGACCTGTGGACATGCATTAATAGAGAGATATCAGAGTGGGGCTGCTGCACAGGGAGCGCACCAGAGCGTTTGGGGGTTCAGTGCTTTGCTCAAGGGCACCTCTGCAGTATTCAGGAAGTGACCTGACACCTCTCCAGCAACCAACTTCCATATTTTGATCCGCACCTGGACATGAGCAGACAACCCTCCTGTTTCCAACCCAAGTTCATACAGACTGATCTACTGACGTCCCACAGAAACTACAGAAAATGTTTAACAACATGTTTCAAATCTTTAATACAAATCTGGAGTTGTTGGGGCGCCAATAACCTCGTGGTTAGAGTGCACGCCTCATGTCCCTCCAGACTGAGCTACTGCTGCACCTTACAAGCTATGGCAAAGCTTTAACAAGAGGTTTGAAATCTTAGCCTCGTGGTTACTGTGTGGTTACTGTGTGGTTACTGCGTGGTTACTGCGTGGTTACTGCGTGGTTACTGTGTAAAGAGGCCATAGTCCTCAAAGCGGGCGGCCCGGGGACCTGTGGTGGCTTTCCAGCATGTCATTCCCCACTCTATCTCTCTGCCTGATTTCTGACTCTATCCACTGTCCTGACTCACAAATCAAGTCATAAAAAATTATAATAATAAAGAAATCTGAAGTTGTTAAACTAGAAGAAACTTTGTCAGCTAAAAAACACTGAAAATGATGCCCGTCTTTCCTTCATCTTCATGTTTTCTTCTCTTTTCAGGTGATATTGATCCTGACGTTGTTGTTCACTGGAATCTGACAGAAGCATCATGACCTCCATAGTTTTCATAGATTACTGAAGCTTCACCTTCATCATTTTCAACCTGTGAAAAGAAAAAGCTACAAACTTGATTTACTCAGATAAAGACACGATAATACATCCCTCTATCCTTCAGCCTCTTAGATTTAAAAACTGTACTTTTACTCTATTTAAAGAACAGTTATCTCTGAAATATCTGAAAAACAAACTTCTGATTATTTAGTTTTTTAACTCACAGCATTGTGATCCATCTGCGTTTTCTTCTCTGTAAAGACAAAAGAGTAAAATTTAGTTTTCACATTGTAAACCAAGTCAAACTAATATCATTTTAAAAGGTTTCTCACCTTTAGTTCTCACCCATATGCTGATCGTCACAAAAATCATTATGAGTACTGCCAGTCCCACAGACACAATGATGAACCTGATCCAACCTGAAAATGAGAATAAAAACATTCAAATCATTTAAACTGCAGTGATTGTTCAATTCAAAGTCAGGATCAGCACTTTTAATGTTTTTACACGAGCTGAAGATAGTTCCAACGTGGGCAGACATCACAACTTAAACCTTACACCAAGCTCCTAGTAGGTTTAAAGTCCTCTGGTTGTCATGGTGTATCGTTTTAAGGCACAGTACGCAAATTCTGTCACCAGGGGGCTCTCAATCAAAACAATGACTAAAGATGAAGTTGAGGCTGGCAGAGAATCATGGGAGTCCTCTCTGCTTCCCCATTGTAATTTAGATATTTAAATGTTATATTTGAGTTGTTTATTCATATATATGATGATTTCTCTTGTAGTAGTTATTATTTTTGTCGTATTTGTTCTTATAAGCCATGGAGATATTTTCACATTCATGCCAATAAAGCTGACTGAATTGATTTGAATTGAGAGCTTCACTGAACAAAGCAGTACAACGTGATATCATTTACACCAGCCTGAGTGTGACATCACAGGAAAATGGCCGCTGTGTGAATGTGGTCTGTACTCTACCTGGTTTCTTCAGAGTTTCGTCCTCCGTTATCTCGTTTCCTCCTGCTGATGTGCTTCCTTCTCATTTGTTGAAGATGATATCAAGAAACAAAAATAAAGATGACATCCATCACTTTAACCAACTGGAGTCACACTAATAAAAGAAGAAGAAGTGTGTTTACTTGAAAACTGTACCTGTTTTCTCACATGATGACCCGGGGTCGACATTACACAGCTGTGTTTGTCCACTCTTGTTTTCTGTCACGTTACAATACAGCAACTTCTTGACTTCTGAACAACATGAGGAGTTGTAAAGATCACAACGGCTGTACAGGTTAACTGTTAGTGTCCTGATCTATCTGTCTCATCACCCTTATAATCCCACTGCACTGTGTGGGCACAGACTCCATAACTGAACACAGAGCAGTAAAACCTGAAGGTAACAAACGAGTCAACTGTTGAAGATATCGTGAGAGAGAGAACACAAGAGTAAGTTTAACTTCCACACCTTGTTCATACATAATAACATGTTTCAGGATACTATTCTGTTTAAATTGTAATGATTATGAGGCAACACTTAGTGTAAATAACATTCAGCAACACACAAGTATCTGGACCATGTTGTTCTCCTGATCTGATCTGTCTGCAGGTGTAACGACCAACATCTTCACGTGTGACACTTTTAATAACCAGAGAACAATCCTCTGTAACATTTAGCCTCTCAGCTTTCTCATTTTTACTTATATTCCCGAGTGTAACCAGCTCTTCTGCTGTACTCCCACTGTCATGACTGAAAAGCCACAAAGGACTGTCACATTTCTGCTGATCTTTAATCACATTTCCACATGGCAAAGTGACATCATGTCCAAGTCTGACTGTGAGGGAGGCGGTATCATCTCCAGTTACAGCTGATGAAGATCAAAGAGAAATATATTTTAAAAAATTGAAAAGGAATTTGTACTTTTTTATTTGTTTATACTTTTGTAAGAGAATAAAAGTGCAACAAACAACAGAAATGAAGATATGTGATGAATACTAAACAATCAATGTTTTTATGTATTATAAACTGTAATGTTTGAAAATGTAATAAAACGTAATGAAATTCACTCAACAAAGAATATTCAGAGCAAACAGCAAATTCCTACCTGTAACCAGCAGCATGAGTATCACAATTAAAGACAGTTTAGTCCTTCTGAGTTGATGCATCTTTATCTCGTCCTCTTGTTGTCGTGCTTTTCTATGTGTAACTTCCTTAAAAAGCGTTTCTTCAAGAGGCTTAGAGAATCAACTTCCTGTGGTAGCGGAGACTTCCTTTTATGACCCTGAGAAGTTTTGTACCCACACTCTTTAAGTAAAGATCTTAAAAACAAATCTTTACTTAATGACTTTAAAACACTAAATAAAAATAAATGAACTCTTCAGAATGTGATTCCTTTGACAGTTCAGAAGACTGGTTTGATGAAATGCTTGTTCCTCTTTCTGGTACATTAATTGTTTCTGAGAACTGAAGGGGAAGTGTTGAAGTGTGAACATCGATACAGCATCAACAGAGCTCTAAAGATTGTACCCATAATGTTTTCATAAAAACATAAAGGAAACGTACACATGATGATCAATGACTTTTAATGAAGTCTCACAGCAGGCTCGTAATATACATAAAGCTGTGCTGCCTTTAATGTGAAGTCAGTTATTTAAAATGTCAGTTAAAGGTCACATATTATTCAAAATCCACTTCTCCATGTTCCTCTAACTCTAACATGTGTCTCTAGTCTGTCGACAAACCCCCCAATGAAGAGAAAAGTCCTTCTGCCTGCTCCACTTTTCAGAAAAGGTGTGCTCAAACAGGCCGTTTGGAGATTTTCCCTTCATGACATCACAAAGAGCAGTAGCCCCTCCCCCAGGTGGGTGACACTCCCACAGCTAGGTGTTTGTTCTGCCCTCTGAGTCTGCCTTCTCATCGTAAACAATAGGACATGGAGCGAGAAAACACCGAGTACACCCCAGCTACTTCCAGAGAGGGGGTGTGGTCAGACACAGCTCATTTACATATTTAAAGCTACGGCTAAGCTATTTAAAGATCAAAAACATTTATTTTTTACATTTAATTTTACAGTTCATGGTTTATACTGCCATCGACTGGTCATTGTTGGGTAGGTCTATAGTCGGTCTTCCAGTATTCACTCAAACATGGCAGCATCTATCCAGCGAAGGTAAAATGTATTTTTTATTTGTTTTGTTTGCAGACAGTGGCATAGATGGAGGCTTGATCAGCGGAGTCTCCAGCAGATGAAGAGTAAGCTTTCACAGTGCTGTACGTCACTGCATCACCTTCTTTTTCATCATTTTTAACCGGCAGCTGAAACAAAAGAGAGAGGCGGCAACGCTTACACAGAATATTCACATTCACTTACACAGCTTCACCACATCAATAAACTTCAGTGGGATAAAATTTCATCCAACAGGAGTTGATTTTTTTCTTTTTTTTGCAGATTATCAGTTGAAATAATTGTTTTGCTGTAGCCTTTCTCCGCTGGTTAGATCATGAACTGTCTTGTGTAGGAAGTTAATTGGTTTGTCTGATGATTTAAGAAAACATGTGGGGGAACCAAGCAGCAACCTCCGATCTTGAAAAATGAAGCCAATGCAAGAGGTGCACAGGCCTTTCCAAACACTGGCATTAGAACAACACAAAAGAAAACAACAGCTCAAACACTGTAATATTGTTTTTGTAATTTATTGTACGTATATGTATCTATTGAACTACTTTTTTTGTATATATTTCACAATAATGGGAAAAATATCTAATTTTAAAGAGCCCATATTCTGCCCTTTTTGGGGTTCATATATTTAATCTATGTTCCTACTTTTGTACGTTCACAATAGCTAAAGTTTGAAAAAAGTGTCTGTTTTCATGAACTGCTCCTCCTTGCTCCCTCTCCGCTCTGAGTCCGTCAGCTACACTCTGCTGAGCCCACACTGTTAGACCCCACGTGGGCCAAGTCTGCTCTGATTGGTCTGCCGATCCGCTCTGTCGTTATTGCTCAGCACGCTTCTCGGAAATTTCAACATGAGCTGCTGGGCTTGCACAACGAGCCAATGGGCTTAGATCAGTGATCTCACACTGACAATGACGTCGCACTGACACATTTTTATAGAGGGGGGCTAGAACCGAGCGTTACATGCGGCTAATGCTACAGCTAACAGGAGGAGGTAGGAGAAGCCGCGTTTCCGCTGACTTTGAATTTTTGCACATAGATGTGACTAAACATGCACAGGACACTTGGAAAACACACTAAAGAGCATATAAAACCAGAATATGGGACCTTTAAATCATTTTCCATTTGTGTATGTTTTTTGGAAGGAATCTAGCGACCCCCTCTCACTGTCTCTTGATCCCCAGGGGGTCACAACCCCCACTTTGGGAACCACTGGACTAGACCATTACTCTGAGGGAATAGCAAGCGTTAACTAGCTCACTGACCAACTACTTAATGGTTGTAACCAGCCAGATATCTTACCTGAGCTTTACTGCTTGTCCTCTTGGTGTAGCTCACAGAAGCGTATGAAACACCATCTTCAGGATCCTCCTACACAGTGAAGACAACAAAGTGGGCTTTTTATTTAACTCACATGCCTTTACTTCCTGACACAGTTTTCTGTTCTGATGTAACCCATCTGAACTCGCTTCCTTCCCTCTTCTTCCATAATGCAGTTAAAAAAAACTCAACTCAAGAGTCATTGTGTGCGTGACACAACAACTTTTTAGACGAAGAACACCCACAATAATAGATACGTTTGTACTGAGATCTCACCTCGTCATGATTGATTTCAGGAGCAGACTGAGGGCTCACTGCAGGGTTTAAGCTCAGCTTCTGAACAAACACAGAAGCCACAGAACAGAAAACACAGTTTGTGGTTAAAGAAAATGTGATTTACATATCCTGTGTAAATGTGTCTCTGAGTCATGACTGTCTACAATGAGTGAGAAGCTCGAGTCCCGCTGGCTGTGTTGTTGGAAGTCGGGGTTGGAAGCCACTGCTTTCCAATTCCACAAATCTTTACTCGATCTTATCGGAATTTTTTATTCAATTAGAACGACGGAAACATAAATAATTTCTATATTACTCACAGCGTAGTCAGCCATCTTTGTTTTCTTGCCTGAAAGGACAAAGTCAAATTCAGCTTCAGCAGCTGGAATCCAGATTTACAAAACGTTTGTCTATGACTTTTCCAGTCAGGTTTAATGTTCTCACCTTTACTCCTCTTCCACAGGATGAACATGACGATTATTATCACAAGTGCCACTGAACCTATAGCAGCGACGATGTAAAACCACCAACCTGGAAACAAGAGGAAACCGTTAAAAACATGTTGGCAGCAGATTTCAAAGTAAAGTTTTGGCTCTAGAAGCTGAGAAAAAGACCAAACGAGAAGTCTCTGTTTTCTGCTTTAGGGTGTTAAAGGTACCATTCATAGAAGGCCACTTTGTGCTTTCTATTTTGTTTTTCTCTGTTGTTGTTGTTGTTGTTGTTGTTGTTGTTGTTGTTGTTGTTGTTGTTGATGCTCTTTTTGTATCCTCATCTGCAAAAATCAAATGGAAATATTAGTGCAAAATGACCTTCGACATTGGAATATTAGGGCCACATAAAAGAAAAACTAAATAGAAGATCTTGAGGTTTAGGTCATGGTATTACTACATTAAAGTTGTAGTTTTACATTTATGTAATTTTATGACATTAATCTTAATTACGTCCAACTTTAATCTGAAAATCTTGTTTCCTTTTACGTAGCCCTCATACTCGGACGTTAACCTTGACCTTCTGGAAATAATCTGCGTTATTATAATTCTTTACATCTAAAACACAAATATACTCGGTATGTATACAAAATAATTAATTAATTAATAATAATTAATCAGTACATCATGAGCTCACCTGGTTTTCCATCTGAGGAACGAGGCCTGAATCCAAACAGAAGTTTTTTATTCATGTAACCATCCATCACTTCGCACTTTGAATTGTGTTTGGATTGAGAAGGAATCGTCACGGTATTCTCACATGTTTCAATCTGTGCTGTCTCTTTATCTGTTTCATCTCCACCATACAGCCACCTCACTTTGTGTCTACACCATTGATGATCTGACACAGAGCAGGTCAGTGTCACCCGATCATTTTCTTCATGTTCGGTAACTGATGAAAAACAAAAAGACAAAATTACAATTAAATATTTCAGATTATCGTTCTGTAAATAAACATTTCGATCTGAAGATATCATGATCCAAACACTTACTTTGAATAATAGACAGATACACCTGAGTTTCTTGTGAACCGATCAGTTTGTGGTAAATACCAACATCCTTAGCTGTGACTCTCCGTATAACCAGAGAACAATTGGCTGTTAGATTCAGCCTCTCTGGGTCAATTTGAGAGTTAGGGACCATCTTCCCCTCAGTGACCAGATCTACTGGGTTTCCTCCACCAAGGATCCAGCTAATACCATCACATTTGTTCTCCTCATCCATCACATGTCCTGAAGGCAACATGACGTCATCCCCATCTCTGATGATGAGGGACTGAAACTGTCCAGTCACTGCTGTTTAAAAGAAAACATAGAGAAATGTGATCAAGAACTCTCATGCTGATGTCTAACGATCATTTAGTACACAGTCTAAAGGCAGGGATGGTCATTTTTGGAAAACTAGCATGATTTTGAAAGTAGCATTCCCTCTGTGCTCCCTCCGAAGCCACGCCCCTCACTTGCATGCCGGAGCGCCGTTGCTCCAGAAGCGGACCTCAGCTCATCGCTTGCATTGTGTAGAAACTACGTCGTCTCATGTCTCATTCAGCGGAAAGTAAACACTAAACTTTATCATAATCTATGTTAAAAGAAAAAAGTGACTATTTTACTGCTCACAACCGGCCACGACAAACTAACAGTATAGACTTGGTCATCTGTGACGCTCTTTGAGCGTGGACTAGTGCACGCCATAGGTAGAGAACGAGCAGGGAGACAGGAAGGCGTGTGATTGGTTCATCAGATTGGTACCTCATGGCAGACATTAGTCGATGTTTTTACAGACTTACAAACTGATACAGATGATGGATTTACTTTGTTCCTTTTTTAGAGAACATGAGTTATTAATGTCTGTCAGGACCTGAAGACAATTTCAACCAAAATCTTAAAAAGTGGATCTGGAGGAAATGACCAACCCTGCCTTTAAGTTAGAAAATTTGACAACAATGATTTGGTTCAATAACTGCAGGTTTGGCAAAAGTTCACACGCTTTGTCACACGTAGCCATCTCAGAACCCATTGCCTAACATCTGACTTTAATACAGCCACTCAGAGTACCGCTAATTACTTACTCCCAGTGGCTTCATCACACCATTGGCTGGACCCAACTACACGGGGTTTCTAACAAAGCAACAGTTGGTGATAGAGGACTTCCAAACAAGACTTATTTTCATGCATTTTCAAGTGTTTAAAGTCCTGCAAGCAAAAATTGTGTTGAATGATGAGGTCTAAAAGCAGATTGTTAGGCACACTAGATGATCAACGCCACCCCCTGCAAATGATCAGGTGTCCGTGGCCCCATTCGAGATGCGTTGCAACAGATTATTTGTCCCAATAATCGTCAAGTGTGTGGTGTCAATACGATTATTTTACTGCTCCTGACCTCAGATCGTAAATATCCCACATCTTGGATATTTAAGATTCTAGATCAGGCTGCCTCCAAAGCATCACAAACCAGATATTGCATACTTTTACGGATCACAAACATGGCAATGAAATCAAAATTTCTAATGTCTGTGGAATCGCCACTGTAAAATACAATTACTACAACATGCATCTCTTTTGCTTCTCTCCCGTGGCTCCCTGTTGCTTTGCCAAAAAAAAAGGAAAGCAAACCCTTTTTTTAACCGTTTATATTTTTGTATTATTGTTGTTTGTAAAACTGCACGGCCCTTCCGAGAGCCCTTGCTGACTGAAGACAAAGGTTTGAATGAAGCCCCTTATATAATGACTTTGAAAATGAAGTGAAGGTGCCAAAGTGACATATTTTTGCTTAAAGTAAAAATGAGGAAGTTCACGCCCACATTTACTTGCAGTTGTGGGAGCAGTTTTAGGAGTAAGAATTTCTGATAGCCCCCTGATGAACATGTCTACTGTCTGTCTTTGTTTAAAGCTAACTAGACCATAAGTAACATTTGGGAGATTTTTAATCTTAAATCATCTGTTCGATTAAAATAAATTAAAATGACTGAAAATGGGGAATATAAACTTTTCTATAAATTGCAAATCAGCTGGATGAGGATCAACTAAATCTGCTGTTTTCTCCCCTGGTGCTAAATGTTTGTTGTTGAGTATGTTGTTTTTGTCATTGTTAAAGCCCACACCGAGGAGTTGTCTTTTCTAAGTGTTAGTGTCTAATCTGTTCAGGCTTAAAATCAGGCATGACAGTGGGAAAGCAGGATATTTCTGTAGGTTGTTCTTACCTGTTAACTGAAGCAGCAGTATCAGAGAGAAAGTCATCTTGTTCTGTCTGAAGTCAACTATTGTGTCTGTCCCTCTCTTGTTTCTGTCTTCCTGGTGCATATATTTAAAAAGTTCCTTCCTGTAGATAGTTGTGTGTTACTTCCTCATTATGACTGTGTTCTCTTTCTCTCCTCTTAAGTTGCTTTAGTCATGAACATGGATCATACTATTTTTTAAATTTCCCTTAAGTCCTGCAATGGAAATGCCGTGGACTTTTTGCTTTTACCGTTTAGTCATTTAGTCATCTCTCTTACAACAAAATGTTTTTTTTTTTGGGGGGGGGCTTTGCAGCTGAGACTCTTCATTACCAAATCAACCACACTTCCTTTCTATTGCGGTGATTCAGCTGGCACTTCTTTTGCCCTGTTGGTTTATTTTTACATTGCTACATGCTACTCTCTCATAAGTGTAAGAAGGCCACTGGGAAACAAATCACGCTTTGCAGAGGATACATATATATCTACAAACTTATAAATGGACTCTGTAAATGGACTTGGGCTTGTTTATTTATTTTCTAGTCTTCATTACTCAAAGCGCTTTTTACACTGCAGGTCACACCTTCACATTCACACACTGTTGTTAGAGGTTGCAGTGTAAAGGCTCCATCAGTATTAACTAGTCCCATTCACACACATTCATACGACACCAAAGAAGCAGCGGGAGCCATTCGTGTCTTGCCCAAGGACACACCGGACATGTGGCTGCAGGAGCAGGGGATTGAAACCCCCGACCTTCCGGTTAGGAGACGACCGAATGCCAGTGGCTCACAAAAACCACAAGAGAGCTTTTCTTACACGTAAGGTCGGCCAAAAGTTTATATGCTGAAATATACTTGCTTTTGAACCACATGAACACGTAGGCAACCGGCTGCGTATTAAATGTAAATGTTCACATACTTGCCTTTGTACAACGCGTGTTACTGGAGGATTCCTCTAGAGGTAGGACCATTACATCAGACTGCATAAAACACTGAAGTCACTTTGCTAAAAGTTGCTCAGAGCTGGGCTCATAGTTCATTAATGTTGGGTCTTTGTAGATAATGTAATAAATAGTAAGGCCAAGATTGCTTTTTTTTAGATAACATTTGGTATGAATTGGAGAGTGTGTGTGTGTGTGTGTGTGTGTGTGTGTGTGTGTGTGTGTGTGTGTGTGTGTGTGAGTGTGTGTCTGCCTGCCGGCCACTCTAGGGTCTTAAATGCCGGTCATCTCAGGATCACCAGGTCAGATTTCAACGAAGCAACTTTTAACAGAACTGCCTTCTCCTAAGTCTTAAGTTGATCTGGCACTACTACCACCCGACGTCCCTGATGCCCAGCCACCACCATCGCTTGTTAGACCTGCCTTGTGCACCTTGTGCTGTATATTTACTTTACTTGTCTGTTAACACTAGACAACACTTTACTGATTCAAGATCAGATCATCAGACACAGCCAGTAATCCATTATGCACTGATCATGCCCGTCAAGTGACAAGTGTCATCCAATCACAACCCCCCTCATATGCATCAGATATACCTCCAGCATCAAAATCACCAAATCCTGCTGAAATGAGTTCCGCTCATGGATTGATTGGCATGTGGTGCACAAGTATGGATAAAAATATGCATAAACCGGCAAAACGAAAATACTGGGTTAAGGCAGCTGCAATGAAAATGAAAGCCTTCAGCACCTTCTGCCGTCGGGAGTTTTCAATAGGCCACACAAAGCATGCTGCTACACAGACGCACAAGAATGCCATGCTAGTGGAATCATTTGTTTCCACAAAGACAGAATGTGTCCTACATGCCCTGGGCTGGTTTGTGTTCGTGCTAGGAAATGTAATCTTAGCAGCGCCACTGATGATGTGTCCCATGTACCAAGTCATTGGTACAGCATCTCTTGCGTTTCGTAAAGAATGAATCCGGCTGAGAATTTCAAGCGCAAACTGAAGTTTTTCACCTCTTTGTTTCAACATACAGCTGCAGGGTTTATGAACACAACAACTCATCACAACCCTAGGGCTGTTGGCTTTATGCTCAACAAACAAGACCTATCCTGACTGTTTACATTCTCTGCATCTGTTGTCGCGTTTTTCTCTTTCACTATTCCCACTTCCACTCATGGATGTAACCTCTGCCATCTGCCTCCTAACTCTGAGAGGACAAGGTACTTTTTCCTTAATAATTCAGCATTAATCTGCATGCTAAATGTATGCATCCACAGCCGCATTACCAGTTCTCTCAAACAGAGCCTAGTTAATGATTGGCTTCCACAATAAAGGACAAATGGCATTACCCTTCAGACCCAGTGTCAGAGTTTGCAGCAAACTTTTTTTCTGTGAGTGACCATAAATCCTCTGAAGCCATGGAGATAACAGGACTTTATCTCCAATCCTCCAGTTCTGTCTTTCTATTTGGGGCTCTGTTGGGCCTGCTGCTCCTCTACTTCAGTTCATCCTCCAGCTTCCACTCCAAAGGAGACAGCAAGGAGCCTCCAGGACCAAAGCCACTTCCTCTACTGGGGAACCTGCTGCAACTCGACCGCAAGATACCTTACAATACATTGGTGGAGGTGAGCCAGCTTAACAGTAGTTTGTTGTTTCTGCCTTTTTTTGCTTGTCTGCTTCCTCATTTAAGTGAAATAAAAGTATTATTTTTGACACAATAACCCTGGTTCCAGCTTTCCAAGGAATATGGATCGGTATTCACTGTCTATTTGGGGCCTAAGAAAGTGGTGGTCCTGGCAGGATACAAAACTGTGAAGGAGGCGCTTGTAAATCGTGCTGATGAATTTGGAGAAAGAGATCCAATACCTATCATGCATGAAAGGAACAAGGGACATGGTAAGGAAAGACAGAAAATGATCATTGTCTTAGTCTGAATTCTGTTTTTTAACTGCCAATTTCCACATGCCATGCACGCTGGGGTCAGTCAGTGCCACGGGTTTTCTCCGTTGGACGCAGCGTTTTCTGCGTTCTGGAGTGTGAGCGCAGCTGTAAACTCATCACAGGATAACTATGAGATCCCTGTTGATAAAGTGATGAAATGTACGATCAGGGAGCCGCATATTGGGATTTATTTTCGTGATTGACCAGATGCTTTGTGCGTTTCATTGTTTGACTTCCTGCCCGGGTTGATCTATTCTTTCCAACGGGTCGCCAAAAATAGACTCGCAGCTTATTTGAAACGGAGCAGAATGTAGTGGCGCTGCTGGCACCCTCTAAAGAACGTTTTCCTGTGGAAATAGGAGCGTTGACTAGAGTGGCAGCTAACCCCGCCGTAGTGCGCAGTGCTGATGGACCAAGGCATGCACTGACTACATGGAAATTGGCAGTAACTTGAGTAAACGCTGTCAGCCTTAAGCTGAATTTTTTTAATAGATCAAAAACGATTTCTATTAAGGTATTCTGTGGTCGAATGGAGATTCTTGGAAAGAGATGAGGCGTTTTGCCCTGACAAACCTAAAAGACTTTGGGATGGGCAAGAGGGCCGGTGAGGACAAAATCATAGAGGAATGTGACCATCTCATTGAGCTGTTTTTAAAATTCAAAGGTAAATATAATTCCCATCTTTCATTTACTGGGAAAAAGAACTAGAATAGTGTTCACTGTTTTCTTAATCCCTGCTGTAGGAGAAGCTTTTGATACGACCCAGCCAGTGTACTATTCGGTCTCTAACGTCATCTGCTCCATGGTCTACGGCAGCAGATTTGAGTATGACAGTCCAGTCTTTAAATCCCTGTTAGATCGCATAAACAGACTCGGACCACTTCTGGGCTCTCCTTCAATGAAGGTACAGTGTCATGTGTTGGTTTTTATCCATGCCTTTAAAACATGAATGTTTTTCTATTTTTCCCTCACCATTATAGTAGTTTTTTTTTCAAGAATATGTATAAATCTGTCACAGATGTACAACCTGTTCCCGTGGTTTTGCAAATGGATTGCAAACAGGAAGGAGTTCCACAGGTTGGGGGATGCCACCAGGAAACAGAACATAAAGCTGTGCAGTGATTTAAAAGAGAATCTCACTCCAGAGACGTGCAGAGGTTTTGTGGACGCTTTTCTGGTCCGAAAACAAAATCTGGAGGTTAGAGAATTTCAATTTTTTTATCAATCAATCAAGTTCATAACAAAATGTTCTCTCGAAACACTTCACAAAATGTAGGTAAAAGACTTTACTCACTGTTATGTAACAAAAGAAAAAATGGGATGGGGGAGATGGATAGGGATGAACAGAGGGCGAGGGGGGGTCCCCACAAATAATCCCGAGGAACCTACAAGAACCCAGGAGCTCCCATGTCATGCAGCAGTGTCGTTACTTCCCATCGCTGTTACTACAAGGAGATGCTATGTTTAACTACAGTGCGCTGAAAGGGACAAAATGGCATGCGATTTATATTATGAGACAATCTGCAACCTCCCCCTCCCCTCCTCCCCTCCCTCGGCAAGGGCGTTGCTTTATGATTATTTGTCATGAGGGTAAGTCAGTTGTTTGTTATGGAAGGAGGTATCCCAATCCAGTAGGCAAGTATCCTGAGCCAAAGATTGAGTTTGAAATTACTTAAACTTTTTGGGTTTATTTTATTGAAAAGACTTGAGGGAGTAAATGATGGATAGCAAACGAGGGATGAAGGCTCGCTGTTTGGTAATGATTGGTAGAGTGTAGTAGAGGACATTTGACATTTGTGCTATAAACGGGTCTGATGTCTCTGTAAACATAATCTGCAGTATAATTTAAGCACACTTGAACTCCTCTCCAGGTCAATCTGGAAATCAATCAGCTGTCGATGGAGTTTGCACCTGACAAAGTACACAACGTGTCTACTTGAGTTAAAGCATACACACTACAGGTCAAATATGACTCCAATACAAGTGAACGTTGCTTAGTCAAATTATGACATGAGTTAAAGTTCTGGAGTTGCTTTTAAAAATACTTAAGTATTCAAACTACTTTTAAAAAATCCCCCAGAAACATTGTTGTTATTTCAAAACAGGTGCATTTAAAAATACAAGGGTGTCCATACTGCTTTGTTATGTTTAGTTAGAAAACATTATTTACATTTTGTAAACTCAAATGCTACAGATTTCCAGATTTGCAGTTCCAAAATAAAAGGAGCAATTTCATGAACAACAAAAAATTACCTGATGAGCTGATGGGAAAATATCAGTCAGGCCTTCACACAGAGAGAAAACATTCACATTTCCAACATGACTTAAGATATCACCATGAGTGCTCAGGTGGAGAATCTTCATCCTTCTCTGCCGTAGCTGTCATTACGGATTAAACCTTGGAAAGGAAAATTCATTAGGTGACTTCAGAACAAAAGTAGCGAGTAAGCTAACTCTGAATTATGTGTCAGTAACATTAAGCAGTGAAACTCTTTTTGAACTTATTGGGGGTAAAATGCTTTAGTTTAAAGAACACCACTGATGAGTATTTCCCTTCAGGAGTCTGGGATTACCAACAGTCACTTCCATGAAGACAACCTTTTGATGACAGTTTCCTATCTGTTTTCTGCTGGCACTGATACAACTGCAACAACGCTAAGATGGGGACTTCTGTTTATGGCCAGGTATCCAAAAATCCAGGGTAAGGGGCTCAGGATATCCACATCTTCACTAGTTAGACATACAGTCTAAGCCACACAATGTGCAGAATTTGCCTTTATAAAAACGATGTCTTCTCATCCTCCAGACCAGGTCCAAAACGAGCTGAGTAGAGTTATAGGAAGTCGTCAAGTACAGCTGGACGACAAGAGGAACCTTCCATTCACCAACGCTGTCATCCATGAGACACAGAGACTGGCGAACATTGCCCCCATAGCCATCCCTCACAGAACGAGCCAGGATGTAACCTTCCAAGGTCACTTCATTAAGAAGGTCTGACTGGATAAAACACCAAATATTCTATTAGATTATTTGAGTATTAGAAGTATTAACTTGGTGTAAATTGTGTCAATTTGATAAACATGGAATATTTATTGTATCTGTGTTGTCCACAGGGGACCACAGTATATCCTCTCTTGACTTCTGTCCTGTATGATGAGAACGAGTGGAAAAGCCCACACACCTTTAATCCCGCCCACTTCCTCAACAAAGATGGAAAGTTTGTCAAGCGAGACGCCTTCATGCCTTTTTCTGCAGGTTTGTGAGCTCAACCATCTCTTCTTTTCCGTGTTCAGTCCACTGACAGACCGCCTGGAGCCTTTCTTCTTTGTTTTGCAGGTCGCAGGGTTTGTCTGGGAGAGAGTCTTGCCAGGATGGAGCTCTTCATCTTTTTCACCACCTTACTGCAACACTTCCGTTTCGCTCCTCCTCCTGGAGTGTCAGTGGAAGAAATGGATCTGACGCCACAATTGCTCCTCTTCCAGGATCCCCCATCTCATAAACTGTGTGCTGCACCTCGAATGCCTCGAGAAGAATGATGGATCGAGAATTTAAAAGCATGTGATGAAAATGAGAAGGAAGGAAAATCTGAAATGTTATTGAACGCTGCTGAAAATGTTATACGTCTGATAAATTCCTTTATGGCTACTTGTATTGCTTGCAGGAAGAAATCATCACCCAGATATTACAAAGAAAGACATTCTTGTAAACAGATGTGTAAAATGCATTTGTAATATTTAGATTTATTATGATTATATGTGACCTTTGCAGCAGAAACTTTCAAACAACCCGAATTGTTTCAGAATACAGTATCAGAGTTCTTAAAGGAGCAATATGCAATTTTGACACCTATTGTTTAAAATTTGTACTGCAGTCCAAATTCAAAGCATTTTTTTGTGACATTCGAGCAAGTTTGCGGGTCTATCTTCTTCCTAAGAAATAACCTGTCACACCTAGAAAAGTTAATGTTTACCATTGTTGTAACCACTGAATTGGTCACTGCCTTCAAGCTGACTTCCTCTATTGATAGGCTTTCACGCTCGGGAATAGTGTTTGGTCATTGTTTTAGCAACATTACAACACAATTTTCTTCAAATAAATCATGGGAATATTTGATGTATTTCTTCAGTCCTTTGGTTCTGTCTCCCTGTTGGGGGTTCTGATGGTCCTGCTGGTCTGCCTCCTCTTCTCCAGCTTCAGCATCCCAGCAGGGAGGAAGGAGCCTCCAGGACCAAAACCCCTTCCCCTGCTCGGAAACCTGCTGCAGTTAGATCTAAAACGACCCTAACACATTAGTGAAGGTGAGCCAGAGACTGGAATAAGTATGTTTCTTTGAAAGTGTTTCTTTTAAGGAGCAAAGGAGGAGTGATTAAGAGTCAGCTTCAGTCAGTTAAATTAAAAACCACAGACCAGGAAAGAAATCTGGGTGTAGTGATGGACTCAGACCTACATTTTAAAAGCCACATTAAGACAATTACAAAGCCAGCCTACTATCACCTGAAGAATATGCCAAGAATTAGAGGACAAATGTCCCAGCAGGACCTGGAAAAACTTGTCCATGCTTTTATCTTCAATCGCCTTGATAACTGTAACAGTGTCTTTACAGGTCTGCTTAAAACATCAGTCAGACAACTGCAGCAACATTTAAATTCCTCGTGTTGACAGTTTTATGTTGTCAGCTACGGAAGCAGGAAGAAGATAGGCCTGCAAACTTGCTCAAATGCCACAAAGTTTTAATTGATAAACAAAACATCAACTGAAGAAGACCGCCGGTTGAAACGTTGAATTAAAACTTTCCTCAGATTGCTGAAATCGATACAGTATAGTATCACGATATTTTGTGAGGCGATATTACATCGTCTCATGGCGGCCAAGGATCAATATTTTTAATATGATATTTTAGAGATTCTTTAATTAATTTTTGAGTTGCACAATTCTTTTTGAAGTTGCATTTTTAAGAATTCATGTTCAAGTTCAATTAGACTGAAAAACAAATAAAAAGACTGTAGTGAGATGAACATACTCACTGTAAAAAGGAAAACTTAAAATTGTTGGCCTTAAAGGAATTTTTCAGTGCATTAAACAAACATTATTTAATTGTGTTGTTAACTTTATTAAAGCATTAATCTCAACTATCATTAATAAGTTTATTGTGAAATGCTGGTCTAATTCCATAATATAAGCTGCTTTAACTCAAAATTATGGATTTGAGGTCAGACTAACTTCTGTGAGCATGCTTCAAGCAAAGTACGGGGTCTCCAACGTAAATATCCAAGGCAAACATTAGCTTGCTAACGGGAACAAGGCACCATTATGTTGCCCGTTAGACTCTGGAGATGTTTCTCTGTCATGTATATGAAGGTGAGTTTTTTGTGCGCATAAAATCGTGTGTGAATTATCATTTTTGAACGGTAAATTAAACTATTTTACGCGGTGAAATTAGCCAGTAACATGGCTGGTTGTTTGTTTAGATGGTCTATACAGTATTAGTCTCAGGAAGGTTTAGCTAAATGTTTGGGGTTTGATTATTACTCTTGGTTGCATTCCCCGGGCCTGCATGTGCCAACCTTTTGCCGACAGTATTGCGCATCTCGGACCGCCGCAGACGCGGGTCTCCATGTGGGTGCATGCCCACACACTTAACGACACTGCGTAAAATGTCCGCACATTTTTACATTCTTGTGTTTCCAGCATGTAAACTTCGGTTGTTCACGTCTTAACTCCTGTCTCTTTCTGCAGCGCTGCTGTGAAACGGAGGTTCCGCTGTGTCGCGGGTCACCAGGTGCGCTCCACTGACGCTGCACCGGCTGCAGCCCTCTGTCATCGCGCATATGCAGGTAGGTTTATATGTGAAAATATGCATTTACCTTTATTAGATACACTTCCAGATTTACAAGGCACACCTAGATGAACGAATTAAGTATAAAACAAACACCCTGTAGTAAAATCCCACCTTTATAATGAATATTTTGTTCTGATATTACTGATTTAGTCAGAGAGAGGTTTTAATATACTTTTATGGTCATTTTGGAGGCTATCATAACTTTGTCTACCTTTTGAACTGTATAGGGTTATAGTGAAAAGTGTATTTCATATTCTGTCCATCCCATTATTTAGGATATTCTTAATATGAACAATGTATCACTATAACCCAGTACATTTAAACAATACCACAAAATAATTACATAATCCTTAAAGACAATGAAAATAAATCAACACCTCTCAGACAGATTCAACAATAACAAAATTGTATTCATCATGAAGGTATGGCTTTTTTTACTGCATTATTTTTGCAGTAACTACTGCTGTAACTACTTAATTGGCAAGTGACTGTGTATGTATGTATAGCCTGCATAGAATGCAAAAGAAAAATTTAACTAGTGGTCTTATGTACAGCACTCTGTTCATGTGTATAAGTATGTTGTGTTGTTTTTTTAAAGCTAAATCAACTAATCTCTTTAATTCTCTTCATAGTTGTCCTATGAGGTGCAGGTTCTGCAGTTTTGCCAGCTCAAGTCAAGAAGTTCTGTTGAGGCACCATCGACTAAGGCACAGAAGAAGAGCTTACTGGCCCTGTGTCTACAGTGACTGTGTGTGCACCTTCAAAACTCACGGGGCATTAAAATCCCACCTTACAAGATCACATTGCAGGACTGTGAGAAGGCAAGAGATCTGCACCTTTTTTTTGTGAGTTATGTGAATTCAGAGAAAATTGTACTCAACACACATTTTTCACTCATCTTGGACATCATTTAAAAAATCGACATACTGTGCATTGCCCCTTTCTGCGTTGTGAGTTTAAAACTAACAATTTTAAAACCTTCAGTTCACACCGGAGTAGAAAGCACAAAAATACAAATAAAATTAGAACATGTTTGAGAGTGCATTCTGAAAATGAAGCATGTGCCATTGAGACTCAAACCAATGACCTGCCATTAGATGACTTTGTTGAAAGTGAGACGTCACAGAATTGTACAAATCAAGATTCAAGTGACAATGCTAGGGAAGAGTATATAGAAGCTGAGACTCTTGAACATAAAATTGCATCTCTTTTTCTGTGCATGCAAACAGTATTGCATGTTTCAAAAAGTTCTTTACAGAAAATTGTTGAAGAATTTAATGATATTCTGCACTTCTCTAAATTCCATTCCCTTCAAACAATCAAAGAGGTGCTTACTAAACATAGTATTGAGGTAGATGATTGTATTGTTCAAGAAATTAATGATGCAATATTTAAAAAAAAAAAACACTAATCGTAGCTACTGAGGCAAAAGGTGCACTGTCTACTGATCACAGGAGGAATCTCTATTTTAAGGTGCACTTCCCTGTAATTGAGCCAACTGAAGTGTTCTCAAATGAACTGGATCTTGAACTTACTATCAACTCAATTATTAATTATATCTATGCTTTTGCTGTTATGCTTTTGTTTTCCACAGATTTGCAGGGAGTTCTACCGTGTCACTATGAAGGACCTGTTGGGGAACTTTAGAGAAGCCTTAGACGAGTACTGTCCTCGACTGCTAAAACTGTATCGTGCCAGGAAAGGAGCCTTTGGACAAGACATGGAAAGCCTCTTGGATAGGCTCGATGAACAGGTAAATTCATCTACTAAACATCAGATTTGTTTATGGATATTCACATTGCCATGGCTACTTATTTTGTGTTCTGTGTAAGGTGAAACATTATAGTAACAATTTGATAGTTCTGAGAATTTACAGTGTCCATTGCCAAATACAATAATTATAGCTGATTTTGTCAGGTATGAAAAACTTTCAACTTATTATGCTGTAGAACTATATGGTGCATTTGAGCTGCTCATCTCACTGTGGCCTTATCTAATTTCAAGAAAGCTTAACAAAGTCATGCTTTATAATTTAATTTACCTATCCCTGCCCAATAAAATTAAAACAGAGTCTGACTTTTAATTGGCAAGTTTCTTAATTCTGACATTAGGCAAAGTTTTTGTATTAGCCAAGACGTACCATAGTAAGAAAGTAAAAAATAAATCCTAACTTCAAAATAATAAATCCTAACTTAAAACATGCCATTTACTAGAATGTATTAGATATATTTTTTTGTAGGGTTTATGCATTAATTGTAGAGGACAACAGATCAAGTCGGAGATTAGAGAATAGAGAATGACGTGCAGTTAATTTGAGGACTGCAGCCTCTGTAGAACATAACCACCAGGCTGTCTGACATCTTGGCCTTTCACTTTAACCAAAAGCCCTATTTCTTTATTTTTTTCTGATTTCAAGACATCAGACATTGCATCGCATCGAAGGAGAGCGTGTCTCGAAGGTCTGCCCATATTTGTCCGTGACAGTTCAGAGAAACTTTTCCTGAAATGCTTGGTGAGTACAGTCAATAATGAGTGCACATTAAATGTAATGTGAATGATGTGTATAGTCTTCTATGCATTTAATCTTAAAGTAAATTTGCTTTAAAATATAACCACAATCTCAAGATAAACAATAGACCTGCTACCAAACTATTGATGGAGAACTGAAAGGTTTACTCATGTTCTTCCAAATATTTATTGGGATTGATGGCTTACAATAAAACCAATGTTTTCCTAGTTACAAGTTATTATAGTGTTTCCTTTGCAGAATTCATATTTCATTTTGTTTAATTCATGGTTTCAACAGGACACTGATCCAGAAGACAGGCAGATCGAAGGTGTCCAGATGGGTATCCTGACTGTTATCGTAGATGATGGTGCACCTACCTCATTACCAACAGTCAACAGTGTTGCTGTTGTGTTGGAAGAGGCAATTGTACTCACAGATCTGCCAGACCTTCCTACTGCGTTTGCCTACCTTTTTGGCCTGCTATATGCCTTAAACATTGAGTTTCCAAAAACCTCAGGTACACTTTTGAAACTCTTCAGCACATCTTCATGGGACTTTCTACTAGTTGCTCACAGCGTGTCAGGAGCTTGAAAACCAAGCTCTTACTATAAGTAAGAAGCTGATAGATGCCTTCACAGATCTACCCAGGTCTGTGTGCCCTGAACATGGGAGTTCCCAAAACAACTCAAGTGCACTTTTGAAGCTGTCATGCTCATCTTCATGAAACTTTCCATCAGTTGTTCAGTGTTTTAGGAGATAGAA